GTGTGTGCACATGAAAACTAGAAGTCAACAGGAGATGTATTTCCTCAGTTGCTCTCCATCATATTATTTAGCTAGACTTGCTTGATTGGCCAGCAAGCCTCAATGATCTGTTTGCCTGTCCAACACTGGGATTATAGGCACAAACCACCATGTCTAGCTTTTCACGGTTGCTGGAGATTAAAACTCATATCTTCAGACTCATGCAGGGAGCACTTTATGGAAGGAGTCATCCTACTGCAGCACTCTTACTGGATGTTTATTAGCTTCTGGAATAAAATTAATATCAATGATTGTATCCAGAACTCCAGAGTAAGGATGTTGTTCTCTCCTGCTGTGGAACAGTATTTGTACATTGTAAGTATGCATTATTCTAATTGGCTAATAAAGAGATGACTGACTTCTAGCTGGGCAGAAAGAAATTGGGCAGGAGAGCTAGACTAGGAAAATGCTGGGAAGAAGAAGGGCAGAGTCTGAAGATTTGCCAAGAGATGCAGAAGGAACAAGGGATGCTAGAGAACAGTTAAAGCCATGAGCCACTTAGCAGCACAGAGATTACTAGAAATGGGTTAATTTAAGTTGTAAGAGTTAGTTAATAATAAACCTGAGCTATTAGCCGAGCATTTATACTTAATATTAAGCCCTGTGTAGTTACTTAGGAGCAGCTTGTGGGACTTTGTATACTTTCAGTATACAAAGTTTTTAACATCTAAAGACACAAAATGACACGGGAGAAACTTTATGCTTTGCACTAATCACTTTTCCATTACTGTGATAAAACACTGTGATCAGGGCAAATTAAAGAAGAGAGGGTTTAGTTGGGCTTATAATTCCAAAGAGATCAGAGTCGGTCATGGAGGGACATCATGGCATCAAGCAGCATGTTGGCAGCAGGAGGTAGCTGATACCTCATACCTGAACCCCCAAGCAGGAAGCAAAGAGAGCAAATAGGAATGACAGTGTTTAAAGTCTCAGTCCTTGGCCCCAGTGACATACTTCCTTCAAAACGGCTACATCTCCTAAACCTCCCCAATGTAGTACCACCAACCTGGGACCAAGTGTTCTAGTTTCTGAGCCTCTGAGGGATGTTCTCATTCAAAACTATATACTCATAGACTCAGCTGTCTTCTGAGCCACACCAGCCATCCACCTTCAGGATCTTATCTCAGAGTATCCTGGGTCCCTGTTAAATTTTATCTTCCCAAGTGACCTCCTCAGAGTGATCTTCTCTGGAAAACTCTCCCCCTGATCATGTGACAAGAACTGTAGCAGAAAAACGTGTGGCCACTGTTGCATGTGGCCATATTGGAGATTTTAAAAACTTGCAGAAACTCTTAGCTGCTTTCTCACAGCTGGTACCCACATAGCCAGGAGCTTTCCCACAGTCACTTGGGCAACATCCTGTAGAGCCCCAGATGATGTCCCCTCCATGCCCCACCATGAGCCAGATGACCCCTGAGGAACTGACATTTGTAAGCCTTTCTCAGAGCCAGTGACTTAATCCCTGAACCAAATGCCAGCCTCCAGCAGTTATACAACACAGCAGTCAAGAGAAGTTGAATCTGGCATAAGACCCAGACCACCTGGGCAACCTTGGAGCTGAGTTCTCTGTGTCCCTCCCCCCGCCTCTACTGAGACCTTCAGCACAAAGAGGGGCAGCAATGAGAACTAGAAATGACATTTGAGCTTAAGCCTTTCCTAGAGAAATAAATCACCGTGGAAAGATAAACTTGCAAAACTGATTCCCGCCCCCCCCCCCCCCCAGGAATATCCCTTCAGAGGCAAAGAAGTTCACAAAAGCTGCATTTAAAAAGCATTAACTTGGAGGCCAGATTCAAAGAGCAGGAAAAAATTTTCAGTTAAAGATTAAGTGACTAAAAGCTTTGGGTAGGATCTCCCTCATATTGGTGCAAGGCAGTTGTCAGTTCAAATAAAACCATATGTGACACTCCTGGAGCTGGCTCTCCCAGTTGTGGCTAGCTTGGCTCCTTTCAGGACTCGTGTGTCTTTCTTATCATATTAATGCTTGAAGCATCAGTGGTCTTTCCCAGAGGTGGGTTCTGTGTGCTATAATTCTGACCTGCTATGTAAGGTATCACTGCTTCCACAATAGTGGCAAGAATGTTTGGGAGCTAACCAACTGCTTTCCAATTGGATTGTAGGCCTACTCCATTATAAACAATATCTACTCGGTATTGTAAATTTTGTCAAAGCCTGTGGCTGGAGAATTGTAGGCTCTATGTACTACTGATTTTTTTCCTTACAGGAGCACACATCCAACTACATCCTAAATATTGATGTTTATACTCGTATAATGCTGTTTCTTTTAATATGGAGCATAGAGTCTTGTTTTTAGAAGGTTGTGGTTAATACAGAGATTCACAAGCAGTAGAAAGGCTGAGAATAAGTGACAGATTGCCGATCACTACAATGAATGTCTGTACCTCCCTCTTTGAGTGCAGGGAATATCACAGAAAAGGAAGTAGAGAGGTTATAAGAGCTAGAGGAAGGAGAGGACATGACACACTGTCTTCTGGTTATGGCACGGCAATCACGCCATCACAGTCACATGGAGCTGTCACTACTTGCATAAATCAAAAAAGACACTGGGCAGAAGCACAAATAGCTTGGAATAACAAGGGAGCTAGCAAGTATGGGAAAGGGATAAGAGAGGGTAGTGGGGGAATGAACATAATTACATACAAAACAGTTTATACACATAAAAATAGAACAACAGAAAGGTAAGTGCCTCTGCTTGGGTTTCATATATATATATTCTCCCTGAAGACATATCTCTTGGGTTTCTCCTTTCTGGATATAGAACCCTTTTTATTTTAAAATGAAACAAAAAGGGGGATTTGAACAAAGCAGGAAGCAGGGGGACTTGTTAATATTGCTTATTTCTTATGTTGGGGAAAGCATGTTACAGCAGAAAGTAATAGAAATTTTGTCTGGGTATCACAGAAGAAAATTTATGATGATTATGTGAATGGAAACAGAATATTATGAAGTGATTCTTGAAAACTCTTAAGGGAGGAAGTGAAGGAAGGACATAAGGAAGGAAGTCAACAAAGACTGGGTCCCTAAAGAAATTTTCAGCATGAGGAACCAAAGTCACTATTACCAGAGAAAACTCATGGGTAATGTAGAGTGTTCACTGAGGTCATCCAAGCTGAATAGTTAAGACACTGGTCCTGAATATTACTTGTCTATCATCAATAGCTATTTCTGGATCCCTGAGGCAATACACTGGCTTGTCCTGCCCAATGACTGTCTGAGTCCCATTCCAAGATGAAATCCCTTGGGTGGAAAATAGCAGGTGTTTCTGGCCAATGCCCTTCAGCCAATGTAAATGAATACTCAGGAAGAGAGAGAGCACTGAGAGTAGCACCACCACAAACAAGGGCCCATGCACACATTTTGGTCCACATGTACATTTTGTGCCTATGTTTCTGAAGTCATGGTATCACTAACCAACTGCAGAAGCGTTTCAATGCATTACACACATGCACATTTATGCCCACATATCATGGCAGATGGTAACGGATAAGAAGTAAAGGTTTCCCAAGTAATTGTCCAATAAAGGAAAAACACCATTGGCCACAAGACTGCTGGTAGGGGTGGAGGGAACTGTAGTAAACTTTCTGCTTCCCATTTGTTTGTTATTCCTTGGAAAACCAAAAGGGACAATTTCCCACACACTTGTGCCATTTTTGTTTCAACAGAGACCTATTATACTTAAGAACAAACACATTGCCACCGGGTAAAGATGAGAACATATCCCAGAGTTAGAATTGGAAATCTGCTTCAAGTAGCCTCACAAAGTGTATGGTCTTAAATAACCACAGTCTAAAAAGAAATGTAAGAAAAGGGGTCCTTGAGAAGGTGATAAATGGTCCATATATGATTTGACAACCATTCCATCAGTAGGCATGGATGTGATTTACCATTGACCCCATGGTTCCATAACATGAGAGCATGCTGCTACTCACAGTAAAGAAAGTGGAAAAAGACCACAGAAAGAACTGGAATTCATGTTATTTTTAAATCACTTGTGATTAAGAAGAATTTAGCAAACAGATCTATTCAGACACTTGTCAGAGTTGTATGAAAAAAATATACCCCTACTCCAAGGCTCACATTTCCCTCCCCAAGATACCTTCTAAAAATGGTATGTGTGCTTGTCTTTAGACTCAATAGCTTCCTCAATCGGAATTTGTGTGTCGGTTTCATAACAGTGATCATATTTGAACATAAGGCCTTTAAAGAAGAGTGACTAAGTTAAAATAAAGCCATCTGAGCAAGTCCTAACCTAATATGAGAGCTCCCCTTTGCAAAGAGGTTAGGACACATAGAGAGAGAGTGGAATGTGTACACAGATGCAAGACCACAGGAGGGCACGTTAAAAAGTAGCCATCTGGGGACTGGAGAGATGGCTCAGAGGTTAAGAGTACCGACTGCTCTTCCGGAGGTCCTGAGTTCAATTCCCAGCAACCACATGGTGGCTCACAACCATCTATAATGAAATCTGGTGCCCTCCTCTGACTGGCATGCAGACAGAATACTGTATACATAATAATAAACAAAATCTTTTTAAAAAATTTAAAAAAAGTAGCCATCTGACCACAAACTTGAAAGAGAGTAAGGAAGAATATATGGGAAGGGTTTGGAGGGAGGAAAGCCTAGAAGGAATGACATAATTATACTAAAATCTCAAAAAAAAAATTAAACTGGCCATCTGAATGGCATGGAGAGAAGAGAAGCATCACAATGAAACTGATCCTTCTAGAGGTCCTTAAACGTGGATCTCTAGACTGGAAAATCACACACACACACACACACACACACACACACACACACACACACGCACGCACGCACGCACGCACGCACGCACACACGCACGCACGCACGCACTCCATTTCCACTATTTAAACTCCACTGTCTTTTTTATTCTCTTATGGTATACCTGGAGCAGTGATATGGCTTCTTAAACAACTCTTTTAAACCTCTGGCAATGGGCAAAGAGACACCTTGTTGGTGGTGTCATTCTCCTGTTTGTCAGGGCAAAGCCGATGGCTGTCCTTTGTTTATCCTAGCTTGATGCCTGGCTTGGTGGCCAAAGTTGTTTCATGCCTAAGGCACAGTTTAAATTTTTTCTATATCTATTCAATATATAACAATGTAGACAGATGTTTGTTTGCTTTTTTATGTAACAATAAACCAATAATGATCATTGGTTTATGACTTGCCATTGTCACTTGATATGACATCTTAAAAATGGTTTCAAATCACCTGGAAGCAACCTAGATGCCCCTCAACTGAACAGTGGATAGAGAAAATGTGGTACATTTACACAATGGAGTATTACTCAGCAGAAAAAAACAATGGAATCTTGAAATTCGCTGGTAAATGGATAGCACTGGAAGAAATGATACTGAGTGAGGTAACCCAGTCGCAAAAAGACAAACATGGTATGTACTCACTCATATATGGATTTTAAACATGGATCAGGAGAGTGCCAGTCTGCACTCCACTGATAGAGAGTCAGGGAAACAGGAAAGAACCTAAAAGATATGCATAGTACCCAAAAGAAGAGGAATGAGGCAAGACCCTCTGAACAGATGGGGAACACGGCGAGGGGTGGGGGGGAGTGGGAGCTGGGAAGAAGAGAGGGGGAGAAGAGGAAGAGAGAGTAGGTCATGGGGGAACAGGAAGGTTGAGTGGGGGGGTAGAATAGGGGGAAGAGGGAATCATAGGTTAGAAGACAGATCAGGCACCAGTGTGACCTCTACTGATCCAAAGGGATGACACCAATTGGCAAGCTAAGCAATAGTGGAGAGACCACCTCGAATGCCCATTCCTGATAATGAACTTGATGTCTATAACCATCCGGGAGCCTTCATCCAGTGACTGATGGAAGCAGAGGCAAACACCCACAGTTAAACACTGAACTGAACCTAAGGAACCCAGCGACAGAGAGAGAGGAGCGATGAGCAAATTGGCAAAGAATGGGCTGGCAAAACCAGCAGAGACAGCTGATCCAAACAGGGGAGAGCTCTTGGACCCCAGACCGACAGCAGGGAGGCCAGCATGGGATTGATCCGGACCCCCGAATTTGAGTGTCATTGAGGAGGCCTGGGCAACCTATGGGGCCCTGGGCAACCTATGGGGCCCTGATCAGTGTTTATCCCTGGGATACAAACAGGCATCATGTGTCCATAGCACAATAAGGGATGCTCTCTCAGCCCTGACTCTTAGGGGAGTGCCTGGACCCCACCCTGAGTGAAATGACAGACTCTAGATATCCCCTATGTGGAAGGAATTGGCAATAGGGTTGGAGGCTGGGGGGTACAGGAGGAGGGGAGGGAGAGGGAACTGGGATTGACATGTAAAACAAGTTATTTAAAATTAAAATAAAAAAATTAAAAATGGTTTCAAATCAATACACACACATGTGTAAGTGAATCTTTCCAATGTATCATGTCCTGTGGTGAAGATAAACCATAATGTATATCCTTAGTCATATGCAGTGGGCATCCAGCTTGTAACTTCTGAAAATAGTATCACAATATCATACCTGTGTCTTCACCCATAGCTACAAGTAGACCTGAAGTCTAACAGTTATATGTGATAGCTATAGAAAGGACCCAACCACATCTGCCACTTAGTAGTGTAGAAGAAGACCTATTGCTCAAACCTTTACAATTTCTGTGTCTTTTCAAGATTTAGTGTTCCTTCCCTTCATTTGACCTCCCTACCAAGCCAGTTCAGAATATGGGAAACTGCAAAGGTATCAGTGATTCTAAACAAAGCACCAAGCAAGAAAAAGGAAAAAAAAAACATGGACCCCAAGATTCTAAGACACAAAATAGTTAACATGGCCATATACACATTCACATGTGTATACAAACTCTTGCCTGGATAGAAGTTGCTGCACAGTCAGAAAAATAATAACCCCTTACACACACACACACACACACACAGAAACACTTTTCTCACACATACTAGCATCTGTAACACTGATCCCTAGTGTTGACAGTTACAAATGCCATGATCTTTCTATATTCCTTGAGCACTAGCTCCAAGCAGCCTAATAGAAAGGGACGTTATAGCAACGAGTCATTTTTTTTATCATACCATGCTGGTTCCTCAGTGAAAACTTTCTCAAGTCCTTTAGGAGAATAATCCTTCCCTGAGTGGTTTATTTATTACACACACATAGAAAATGGTGTGTGCTCGTTTGTAAAGATGTTTCTATCTTGTAGCACAGGTAAATGCTCCCACCTAGTTCAGCAAGACATATTAGAAATGAATGCCAGCTGTAATGCTGGAAGCATGAAGGCTGGGCGTAATAGCGTGTTCACCAGTAATCTGTCCAGCCAGGCTGATGAGGGTGAACTTCCCATTCTTATGAATCACCTTAATGCACTCCCACAGAAGGTTTGCAGTGGCACAGGAACATTTGTAAGGCCATGGTGCTGTAAAACATGCTTTTCAGCCTTGAAATATTTATTACTACTACTCCTGTTTGCTCTGAAAACATTTACTGGCAAGATCAGATGAGGCAAGTTCAGCATCCTCTCCCCTCGGTTTTAGAAATGCCAGCCTGGTGCCAATGCTCACAACTAAGAATGGGAGATAAAGTAAGGAAACACTCCCTCTTAATGCCTGTCACAATCTTCAATAAGAAAGGAAAGGTCTCAGTGTGAAAATATATAGGAGTCCCAGTCCAGTGTACTGAGATGAGGACATAGGATGATATCACTTGTCACATAAGAAAAGTCAGAGATATGAACTACAGGCATTATTTCAAACCCTAGGACTCATTTGCAAAGCAACCACCCCACAAGCTGCTGAGCAAGATGAGAGGATATGGTTTCTGCCTTCACAAACCACAGATGCTGGTCCAGATACTCAGCATCACACCTTGGTCCCCGAATACTTAGGTGTTGTCACAGTCAGCTAGAATAAAGACTTTTGATTGGCTATCAACTGCGCCGAAGTTTTCATCTCTGATGCGCTCCTGTAACAATACTGGACTAAAGGAACTTAAGGAAGGAAAGGTTTACAATGGCTTACAGTTCTAAGAGCCAGAGTCTATGATTTAAAGACCTAGCAGACACAAGAAGGCTGGCCACATTGTATCCACTGTCAAAAGGCAGAGGACAATCAATGTCTGGTCTCATTTCATTTTTCTCCTCTAGCCTATACAATGCTCCCAAATACATGTAAGATGAGAATTCCCACCCCAACTAACCAAATTTAAATATGCCCTCATAGGCTGGGGTAGTTCTAGAACTTGCCACTTGACAAACAGTATTGATGTCACACTACTCTACTGCCAGTTTGCAATTCTGCCTTTAAGCCACACTTGAAATACCAAACCTAGCCGAGTTTGCAAACATCAGTTTCTGTGAAAGTGGTGGGTAGCTAACTATCCAGTTTGGGAACTTGCCAAGACACAGGACCAGCACTCGGGAGTCATCTGACTCCCAGGTTTCTATCTAAAATAAACATGCAATTTCTATTAATTCTCTGCTTGTTTTCAGCCTCTCACAGTAAAAATGCTATCACTCTGACCCCATCCAAAAGCAGAGAGAGAGAGAAAAAAAGAGGAGGGGGGAGGGAGGGAGGGAGGGAGGGAGGGAGGGGGAGACTTCAGAAAGGGTGATTGCTCTCTCTTTAAGTGCTTTTCATCCTTTCTCTTTCTTTTGCAAAATGCTTTGGGAACAAAGACTGTGATGGGCAGGCTAAAGGCCAATCTCACACAGCAAGGATACCACTGTGGTTACACAGGCCCATCCAGTAAGCTCCGCAGAAAGGACCAAGGAAGAAACAAAAGGCCAAAGGCCACACCATGCTGTCTTCAAATGACAGTTATTATTTGCTTGCATTAGCTAAAGCTGCTATTTTTTATCCCCAGTCATTGTGGTCTTTGTTGTCTTCCCTGCTGTGGTTGGTCTGACTTCCTGCCACCATTAGGAGAGCCGGCTGCCCCTTCCCTGAAGGTAGCCAGTAGTCTGTGGAAGGGAGAATAAAGCACAGCTCACCAGCAACCCTGCTATCTCAGAGGCACTGGAGTTTCATGCTCATCTAGTAAGGCACAAGGCCCCCAGCACAGGCCTGCTGAGCCGTCTCCGATTATGGCTGTCAGTGGGCACACACATGCAGCCTGACTTTTCAGCATCCATCTCTGAAAAGGGACTAAAGCATCATAGAAACAAAGCTTGTCCTGTAGATTTTGCCCCAGTTTTGAATTTTTATTGCAGCTTGTCAGGAAAAAGGAGTTTAGTTCTAGAATCTGGAGGGTGCCTGCTAGGTCATTAAATGTTTTACATCTAATGCTTATTTCAGAAGCCACAGGCCACTCCAGCAGGGAGATAGGCTAACTGAATATCTTCATTACTCCCCTTCTCTCCTCCAAATCCAGTCTCTGTACCCCCTCAGACCCAGCTCTGTAGCAGAACACCTGCTGAGACCTCTTCCTCTTCCCCCATCTCCTACAGATCACTTAGACCCTTCCTCAAATCTCCCTTCCCCAACTCATTGCTTTATCCCATGCCCCAACACCAGCAGACACTTCATGAGAACCCACAGGCCACTCAGACTAGGCAAGCAGGTAGACTAGCTTTAAATCTTAACTCTCCCTCCTCTCCTCCAAATCCAATCCCCCTACTCTCATCCACAGCTCTGTAGCAGACTACCCTACTCTCTCTGCTCCCATTCCCAGGGGACTAAGCAGATGCTGGTGGAACTGCTTTATTCCCTCCTGTGGACCCCATCACCCTACCTCCTAGCCCAACCTTGTTCCTAAGTGTCAGCTCCAAATAGCTAGAAACACATTTCACCCAGAACCCCATGTGACCAAACCTAGTAGGCCAGAAGAATGTCCTACCACGCAATACACAACTACAACACATGTAAAAGCCAGACAGGGCAACAGAAAGCAATGATAAAAACACCCATCCCCAAAAGACAAGACTAGATATTAGCACCTAGAATTACAGTCTTCCAAAACCCAGATGACTAGACAACAGAGTAAAAATACAATCGATAACAGCTAGGACAATATTTCTCCACTAGAGCCCAGCAACCCTATCACAGTAGGCCTTGAGTGTTGCAACATAGCTGAAGCACAAGACAAAG